TAAGGGATATATATTCTCTCACCTTGTACGCCACGATTGGATCTTTGTAGGCCACGATGGATGAAAAACAATCGTGGCGTACAAGTTGACATTTTCTCCCTAAGTTCCAGGCACCATTCTTAGATGCATATGTAAGGAAGCGTTTCATTTAGGGCAAACCGACGGAGTTATTTTCCTGCTTTGTGATTACAAACTCTCATCTCGGAGATGAAAGCGGAAAAATTACTTTTATAGGTTTCAGTATGACATACATCAAATGCTCTATCTTCAAATGTTGAAAATAATCCAATTTTTTTTGTCTATTCTTTGACTACCAATTAGACTCAAGGGATGTAGTTTACTTTGGATAGATCAACCGGTTTAACATACTCTACATTTCCTTTTTGTGTTTCCGGTAAATTTTTGTAATATTAGGGTTGGAATATACATGCTTGCAAAATTTGCTGCACTATACATCATTGCTTTTCAACTCACAGAACTTCTAAGGTTTGTACCCTCATCTACTTATTCATCACTGATTTGTTAATGGGATACAACCTTGTGAGCACCGTACATTAATTTACCATCACCAGATATTCATCCGAAAACAATGAGATTTGGCTTTGAATAGTACACCCTTGCATGAGTGTCATACTAATTCACGTTAGTCATTTATCCATAAGACTTTTTCTATGGATATCCGTGAAAGTTATGACTATCCAAGATACAAATAAGTAAATTATATTTGGTTCAAAAAGAATTCGTTGCTATCGTGGCTACATATGTTACAGATGACAATGTTATAGGATATATATGATTACCAATTATCCTGTATGGACAACCAAAAAAATTTCAGTAACAAAGATATGTGATGATCATCTTTGTTTCATTTGAGAAAGATAGTGTAGAAACCTACCGTACTAGACAACATTTTTGTCTCTCTAACTTATTAATATGTTATATATCATGTTGTATAGCACCATATATAACAAAGATAGTTGTGGGGCTACAATGTGGAGTGTTTGACCAAGATATTTCACATCTAGAAGGTGCAGTAGGACCTACTTTTAAGTGATACTACTGGCTAAGCCCATGTTACCCGTACGGTTTTATCCGTGTAACACTCGATCGGATCTGGCCATCATTTTCGTTACATTACTTCGTCCATGGACGGATGATGACAAACTCGAGATCGTCCGCAGCTGCCTGAATTACTCCCAACGTCACTAAACAACGTTGGCTGTAGACAGAGCCTATGACACTCGTATGCTATCCATCACGAGACACTGCTGCATCCAATATGCTCTCCGACGTGAGGGTACGGTGCAATCTTCTGAACGAGTGCGGCTGGAATTGCCTCTTGCTTTTGCGAGGGATTCACTTTAGTGTGCTGGATCATGATATCGAGGGGTTCCCAGCAGTCGAATGAATTTATAGAATGTGAGAAGCACTCATTCGCATTTGTTATATTCAACTGCCAACAGATGATGCTATCCTTCCCTTGTCGAGTTGATGACTCAAAGCTCGCTTTTCATTTTCCTTTTCGTCAAAGGTGGACAAACCAGCATGAGCTCTGCCATTCTGTCGTCCCCGAGTATGTTCGGAAGCACTTCTCTCACAGTAAAAGAGGCCAGAAAAGAATGGGGCATGGAGTATGGAGTAACGCTGTTCTTGGAATATGATGTCCACCTGTAGCTTATACATGATACTATCATGCAAGAACAGCCAATGTTCAAAGACTGGAATTTCTGCCGACGATACCAGATCCTGTAAGCAGACGAGTCTGGCCACGGACCACTCACAGGTGAAAAAGAGAGGCCAAACTCAGCTTTTCATTTTTCAGTCGGTAGTTGAGTCAACGTTTAAGAAGTCATAATTCGCAAGTTTCTGAATAATATGGAATTTCTCTTTGTTCGAAAGTAGTACGTAGCCACATGCCGAATGTACACCTCTGTCTTTTGCATACACATCACACGCAAACGAGAAAGCACGTTCTTTCTTCGATCTTCATGAGTCGGTTGTCCAAAAGAGGCATTTAGAGCGTCACACTGTTCATGTTCATGTTCAACTCCCGCGCCATGAATGGACTCGTCTCTTGACTCGTGAAGACAAGGTCGATGATTTCGACACATACGGACGTAGTTGCATGCGGGAAAGCAGCAAGTAGGTCCTGCAATAAACTCGAGGACCGACACAAGTGTGAGAAGGAAATCGATTCGGAGTCCACGTTGAGTTATCTTCAAGACGAACTCAGTCACAACGTGCGAAGAAACGGCTGACCTCCATCGACTCTTCCACGTATTCGAGATTTTGAAAACAACCCTTGGCGTCCGCTCATGTGCATTTTTTTGGGGTTAGATTATGAGGCATTCTTTCTGTCATATTTTGATACTTTATGCATGTGTGCATTAAAGTATACTACCACGCATACTAAAATATTTTTTTTTATTGAGGTTTAAGTTTTCACATCATTTTCAAAGAAAAAAATCCTTAGGTGGAAACTGGACATTCATACTAACCTGTACTTTATTCAATACGGATTTTGTGTCTGCCGCAAAAATGTATATTTATGTAGGAGATGATAACATATAATTTTTTTCGGAGTTGTTTCAATATTTTTAAAGAAAATTTCTAATTTCCTGATGAAAATATGATGAGGGTATCACTTTACCTCTAATAAAATCAAAATATATATTTCATATCTTTAAGAAGTTGTTAATTACCCAAGACAGGCGATGCATACTCTGTTCTGCATACATACCAACAGGTTAGTTTACATACTAATAAAGCTCGGTGCATCGCAAAAGCACCTGTTGATATTCAAGCACTTTCCGTTAATAGCGCACAGATATGCGATTATTCTTAATCAGGGTCATTAGATCTGACGATGTGATCTACTGCTATCTTATCACTTGGGGGCACACAAATCTGCACAACAACATCCTGCTCTTCTCTTTTCAACTGAACAAGAGTGCAGCTACTCTGATCCAGTTGACCCTTTGACGGAGAACTGAAGGGACTCGATCTATACCGTGCCCTGGATACCATCACCTGAAATGAATTCGTCTCGGATCAGATGACATTCAATGGCCGAAGAAAAATACAATACAAGCGCAAACACATTAGATTGAAAACACGTGCGATTGAAAGCTCTAAAGGAGAGGATGTCCATTGGGCATACTGTGCTGCTGCTGCTGACAACACGCTAAGCTTTCGGCCGATGGGATCTGGGCTGAAGTAATCATGAGGCTGAACTACAGTCTCAGGAATATGCTACACGGGGTCTGTCGTGCTCTGGAGTACACTACTTACTGACATAACGTCGTAGCCCACGCCTGGTTCTCACTTTCGACCGTGCGACAGTCCAATTGAGTATGTATGAACCTACCGTACCGTACCGTTTCGCGACGTAGCCCACGGGCTGCATCGCCTTATGTCCAGTGCGCCAACTGCCGTCGTGAGCTCAGAAGCAATGGTAATCTTGTTCAGCCGTTATTGTTCTTAGCCGACTCATACGAACCCAAAGTGCACCAGTGCATGTAAAAGGGTTCTAAATGCTGCCATCATTTAATTACATGCCTTACGAAAGGATCCACAATTCCTTTGTGTCCCTTCGAAGGCATTTCATAAGTTACACGTAATGATTTCATGTGGATATATATACGTGAGTATTTATCTTAAGTTAGTGCAATGATTATTCCTAGTCACTTAAAATTTAAAGAAAGACTATTAGAGCATTAAATGCTTTGTGATTAGGGGATTTCTATTAATATTTGCTTGTAGTAGCATCGTCATATCACATCTTTCACACCCTAGCCCCAAGTTTATACACACCGATTTGCACTAGTCACACCAAGTTTAGATGAAAATATTTTGTGGTTTTCAGGGCACATTCAGATTTCCATATGGATCAAATGTTATTGCAGGCAAGTAAAATTCAAGGTTAAAAAGAAAAACTTATTTGAATCATAGTCAAATAACCGTCCACTAAAAGTTTTCGGTAGTTTTCTTGCCTAAGGGGAGTGTAGTCTATGAATGCGTTTGATTGTCTATTAACTTCTCGAATTTGTGGAAAGATATTTTCATCATGATCGCAGAAGTAATTTTCCCAATAATAGGGTATTCTCATCATCTTTATTGGAAAGATCTTTTTAATTTTATAGTTTACAAGATTAATTAACTGTACATGAGAAGCTTCAAGCCCGATGTATGCAACAGTATGCAATGGTGGCTACCAACCTACCTTTCCACACACCATAAATTTCCAAAACTGGTTAATATCTACGCTTTAGGTTGTGTGTGTAACTATATCATTGAAAATTTTCAGGTGTAAGATATGGATAATTGTTAAATTTGTGTTACTATATGAATGCATTCGCAAACTCTAAGAGCTATAAGCACATATAGAACGTGACATTCTATAACAAATGTTGACACTCGCAATTGTCGAGAGAAGTAGTGCATAATTGACATCTGGTGGAGACGACATCAGAGAATTTTTCAGTAATTGGTTCAGTTCATGGGTTTGCATAGTTTACTGTGGTGGTCGTATTACGCGGGGCGTGAGAGGCCGATACAGTACTTCACTGAAAACTACACCTGCGTTGCATCGTATAATACGTGTTGAAGTACAGAGCACCAAGGAGCACAATGAGTTGTATTGGATTTGCATCACGGCGACATGTAGAGTATGTGTAGCAGGGACTGACAGTGACTGAGTGAGACAGCCTGAGCACAAGTGAATTCGAAACGAGGAAGAACTCCGATAACATGGCAGGTCAAATATCAGTCATTTGTGGAGCCTGGCGGTAGGTTTTATGGACGATAACTGTCGGCTCCGAGGAGAAACTATACCTCTTCAAATCTGGTGCTCCTAAACCAACTAACTCGTTGAATTAGCTGACTTATTTCTGCTGCTTTACTCATTGACTCGGGTTGGAGGGAAGAGATGAATTCTGACGCTACACGCCTTGCTCAATCGATTGGGTTCAAAAAGCTAATTTAAAGTCTTCGGCTCCGTCTGAACACTCGAGTGGCAGCTGGCGCTTTCTTATATCAATGCGGTCGCTCCCGCTCCTCGTCTCTCATAATTCCACTTGCTACTTCCCACTGGCAACTGACACCAGCTGATATCATACTCCCTCCTTCCTGGAGCTGAAGCAGCACTGTCTCCGTCAGGGAGACTCTTTGCTACCCCGCAGTGCAGTTGGAAAATTCTGGCAGTACGGCGGGTATTCGATCGAATCAAGCCCATCGAGCTCGTTGTCCGCAGCAGCCCACGAGCATCATCGTCTTGGCTGTATGTCCGAGCTCGCATTGGGCTTCGTTCGGTTCGGCATCGACTGATTAGAGTCTGATCTGCCCCAAGTCTACACCTCTGCTGCTGCTGCTGCTGCTGCTGCTGCACAGAGCGGAGGAGATGGCAGCGAGTCGTAAGTTAGCCGCGTTCTACATTTTTGTACTCGCAACATGGGTCCTCGGCAGCTGGACGAGTGCAGCGAAGGCACAAGGAGAGCATACATTGTTCAACAAACAGGTGCAGGAAGCGCCTGCCACTTTCGGGACGCTTGCAGGTCAGCAGTATTTGGGATTCTCCTTCTACCTCCATGACAATCTCGACACCAGGCCATCGTCCAGCGCAATGACGGTGGTGCCTGCAGTGGGGTCGCTGAATGGGAACGGAAATCCTCACTTCTTCGGTGCGATTGCTGTGTTCGACGATGCCATGACCGAAGGTCCTGACACCAACTCCAAGCTCATGGGCAGAGGACGAGGCTTCTACGTCTTCAACGCCATGAACGACAACGGGGCCGGTCTCGAATTCGTCTGGACCGCAGTCTTCAACGACGCCAGTGGCTTCGGAGGCAGCACTCTCAGCTTCAAAGGCTACGACAAGATCGACGACGCCGAGCGCGAGATTGCCATCACCGGAGGCACCGGCAAGTTCCGCCTCGCTCGCGGTTGGGCTACCATCAAGACCAGCGCCGCCAATGGAGGTGCTGCCAAGCTGTACATCACTTGCAGTGTCTACTACGGAGCTTAGTCTCGACTGAGAAGAACGCGGGGATGACAGCGCCTTCGAGAGCAGCACTATTATCACCCTGCGTGTTTTCGCCGGTCCCAGGTATGACTTGAATTAGACAGACAGCCGGGGAGGGGATGCTGTGTTCCTGGGCTCTGAAGTGACTCCCAAATGTACAGGAAGATCTCAGTCAGTCACATCAGCCGTCGAGGCGGCCAGCATTTTTCCTCGTAGTATTACAATAGACACAGCTTGATGCTCACTCGTTAGTACCTTCCAACCGAGGACTCATGGTGGGAGTGATAGATACATGTTCAGCCAGCCCTCAGTCGGTGCGACCATGCGATGCTTCCTCCGCTCGTCGAACGGAGAGTGTGTGCCCCATGTCCCCGACATAGTCTAACCTGCACCTCGCAGGAGATCAGCCTAGCGAGCTGCTGCTCTGTAAAGTGACGGGGTATAAATTACGAGCACGTTGCAAATTTAGTGCAAATTTACTGTTTTGTTGGTGATGATGTTCACTTGACGATGGGACATGGCGCTGATGAGACGTCGGCAATGCACGTCTCGTCAGATTCGTTTCTGCTGTTATATTCGGACACAATCGGAGACGGCCTGCCTTTCGCGCATGGCCAGATCGTTTGAGTCCTCGAGCAATCACCCAGTATTTCGTGGGTCCGCCGGAGAGGTCGATTGTAGTCGGTCGATTCTATGTTCCCTGCGTTGTCGAGTGACAAGAGTCAGGAAACAAAACTGGTAGGCCCCGGGTGTTCTTTCTTTGAGTTGGTCGGGGTCCGTTTTGGTGGGGTCTACTGTCCGCAATATGTCATTGTTAGACTTTCGGCCGCCACTTCAATGTGAGCAAGCGCCTGAACTTTGCCTGATCGCCTGTGGGGCACATTATTGTTCCCGTAAGTTCAAGGTCGTGGTGCATTTGATCGTCATGGCGTTGAAGGCCTAGAAGCCTCAGGTGTACCGTAATGTCAATGTCGATGCTCCAGCGACGAGGCGATCAACGACCCAACCGGTGCACAATCATGTCTCTCGGACATACATTACGTACATGCCTGCTGGCACAATCCTATTTCAACATTGGGGTCAGGAATTACGGTGCAACTACATCTTCCCATTCAAACTTTATCCCGCCCGATGAGAGTGTAGAGACTAATCCCCTTCCATAATTTTTGGACTTTACAGGACTGATACCTCACTCACAGGTACAGGACTGTGCTCAAAGCAGGGCTTCAATTCACTTCCTTTAAATCCAAAATCTGACTCCCTTACTGACATCGTTACGGCTGGAAAATTCATTATAAGTGCATCTTACGCCCCTACGCTGTAGCTATGATTTTGCGCACATCACACGTGAGGATATACTCCGATGTCCTACAACATTCGTCAGCGTTTATGATATGGCCGGCTGCTTTCAAAATAAATTGTTCCTTGAATTGTGCACAATTTGAGCTCTCCCAAGCGCCATCTCTAAAAGGGGTTTGCGGTGTAGTGTCACAATTCCAGGTCAGTGTGAAATCATCCGCGAGACGTTGTGGATGTCAGCGACACTCTGAAGAGGTAGCGTCGAACTGCGCAAGCTCGTGTGTCCGGATCTGGGTTTTCTTCGATGAATCCAGATTGGCAAGGGTATGCCTTCTAAGGCCATGTGATGCATGATGCGCACTAAATATTTGATCATTAAAGTCTACATCTGATCGTTATCTGTTATAATTGATAATAGAAAAACTCAGCCAGTGTAGAAGTTATACACAGACATGTCACATGTGCGAAGATACTCATGCCAGTTTTCGCACCTGTTTGCGTCTTCAACAGCACATTTCTATTTTTGTACATTGTGACATGTTCCATTTACAAGCATAGAAAATTACTTCAAATTGAGAGCAATGTTTCGTGCTTTGGAAAAATCTATGTTTCAATATCTTCAAACTGAAAGGGATGATTAAGGCTAAATTGCTCGAAGAAATAATATCCCAGCAAAGCCAACGATGTTTCATATGTAGATTTCGAAAATCTTAGAACAGAAATATGACACGAATCATCATTTGATTGTATGTAAACAATGAGATAGATTACATATCATTACACTTAAATTCTTTATGTTGTACTGATTAAAAAATATTTTTTTGACTCTTTGGAGCTTATAACATCAAATCAATGTGTTTCAATTGTATATATTTTTTAAAAATAATTGGAAAAATAATACCTATATATTTATTTCAAATTAATAGATAAATCCAAACTAAAAAAATACCATGTACTCTCGAAAATTTTGTTTCTTATTTTTAAACAATGAAAAAAACTCACATTTTATATAAGTCATAAATATATTGATATATAATTTGAATACATTCATTTAACAGATAAAGAATCTGATCATGTCTAGTAATATTATTTATCAACGAAAATGATTAACTTAGAAGTATATTTACATAGAAAATATGAATTTTGGAACTTTCCTCTTTCTTCATGCGATTTTTCATGTTTTAAAAAACCTAGGATCTGCATCTTTTTCTGCATCTTAGGTTTTTTTAAACCTAAGATGCAGAAATATCCAATTATATTTTTATGCAAAATTAAAGTTAGATAGAATTTAGTTACTAAAGAACTTAAATTTTAATAGAATTTTTTTTAATTCAATTGAATTGCATGGGCCTCAACATGAAATGTAAAATTTTTACTCTTTTGTATTCTTTGGGTTTTATGAAACTATAGTATTGAATTTTTACTTATTTTTTAAAAGCAAGAGAATTAAGGAATTAGTGTGTTTGATATTATATTTAGCCAAATTTTTTTAAGGGACGACTAGGGCCACACCCGCTTTTGCTACGGCCACATCCGCCCGTGTAAGTTGACTCGATCAAAGCCACCGAAGGTGGTTGAAGCGGCATGGCAGTCGAAATAGATCAATAGAACGGCAGCAACGCGGGAGACAGCGACAGCCGCAGCGGCCCCTCGAAGCCTCTCGACTACGCTCTCCTCTGCCTCGTGGACGAGCTCGGCTTAGCAGCTGGGTTTCAGGGGAGGCGTGCTTTGACGCGCAATCAGTTGTTTGTATGTAACGGGTATGGCCGTAGCAAAAAACAGGTGTGACCCTAGTAAAAACGAATGTGACCCTAGTAAAAACGGATGTAGCCATAGTCGTACCAATTTTTTTATGGTTCTTTATAAAGTAGAAACCAATGATATATGTGATCAAAATAGTTTAAAATATTCTACATCCTCATGTTGATTATGGGCTGCGTAGCTTTAATAGTTCTAATATTGCAGAAGTTGTAGGACATGTTTTACTTTATGACACTATTTTTTCGTTTTGTTCATCGTGTGGCTGATGGGTTAATTCCTTAGATTTTCTTGTTAACTTCTCAAGGGGATTTCCTCAGTGTAAAATCAAAAATTTTGCACTTGAATGTTCCGCATGTGCCTTAGAACGAATAACTTCATGCTTCTATATGTTGTTTTGAACATAATATGCACGGACAAACCCCAGAGCTCCACAATGCAAAGAGAGGCGAACATGCCCGTGTCGAAGTGAAAGATAGTTTCATCGTAAGATTTACAGAAACTTCAGCCAAACTTCTATTGTTTGACACAAACATCGTATGAAGGAAAATTGTGTATCGAGACACAGAGGAGATCCAAAATAAAAGAATACACAACCATTCCGGCGTAACTGGTTATACTTTTTAAAACATTTTCTGTACAAAGTCTTGTAGCTTCTAAATGAACCGTGTAAAATTATGACGAGTTTACGGGGGTTCTGAAATAACTTCGATGCGTTTTATTAAGAGCCAGTGTCAATAAGTGAGCGTCGTGGCGAAACACTGCCAATCCATATGGAAATCGATGAAGAACATGAAATGGCTCAAAAGCTACGTAGACGAAGGGGACATGAAGGAACACTACGGCACACTACGGCCAACAAGGAGAAAACTGCGTCAAGCTTAAGGAAGAAGCCCCGTGAAAGGTGGACCCTCTTGTATTCTTCGTCGCACCCACTTCCAGGCGGCTGACGGCTGGGCTCCTCCATGTCACCCCGACTGCCTGCCTGACTGACTGCGTAACGGCGTCATGCGCGTTTACTCCACAACTGCGTAATGCAGGGAGCGGGAGAAGCAGGACGAGGAGGGGGCGAAGAAGCGAGGGCAGGACAGCAAATGTGGATTCACGTTCATGATCGATTGCAAACGGGGCGAATTGATCGTGATGGACGTGAGAGTGGGGCAGGGCGAATGAGGCAGTGATTGAGGGAGTTGGTGGATGGCCCGCGCGGCATGCAATTTCATCTTGTCGGCCTTCGCTCGCTATTAGCAGGAGCAGTCGAGGAGCAGACATGAGCGGTAGTGGTAGCACTGCCCCCCGCATTCTCATTGCTGGCGATGTTTGTGGACGCCTTGCTGCCCTTTACAAACGAGTTGCTTCGGTGAGATTTTGGACTCTCTTCGAATGGGGTTTTTGTTCAGAATTGCTATGTTCATGTTTCTGATTGGTGGTCTGTCATACTTCTGTTTTTCCATGAATTGTCTTCTTACTTATGTAGAGGTGCACAATGCGCAACGTCGTTTTCACGTCGGAGCTGAATGAGTTGATGTGACAGATACCAGAGGGCTTTATCGTGGTGGCGTTTTAAAAAATTAATAGCTTTCACAAATTTGATGAGAATTTTGAATTGTCAAATATTTGTCCAGACGAACCTGATAAATGTTCTTTGAATTATTGAGTTATTGTGATTCTAGTGAACCCAACAAATTCTTCATATACGATGGTTTCAAACGAGCAGTTTGTTCTTTCTCCAGACAGGATTATCATATAATCTATGAATGATTTACTGCTAAACCCTGAACCCTAACGCTCATACTGCATATACCTTCCGACAAGAGTGTTTGAAAATTCTGTGCCTGTGTAACTTTCACTGGATGTTATCTCCTTTACGTCCAATTTGTCAATATTACTACGAGGATATGGTAGAATGTTCCAAAGCTCTACCCAGTCTTTGAAAGAGGTATGAAAAAATGTTCAGTCTCAGTGGAATGTATATGGAAATCTCTTTATCAAGCTGTGCAATTGCATTTCTACACCTGTCCTTTTGAGGCTTCATTGGATCACTTCGCTTCGAAGAATCGTTTGAAAGTACTCATTTATTTTGCTCAGAGTAGATAACAGTTTCCATATTCATCTACTGCATCACCATTCGGTTACTACTATTTGTTGGAATTAACACTAGCCCTCATAAAGCAAAATATTGACAACAAAAATATTCACTATCCTTGTAAGCAAATTTTATAGGCTTGAGTTATCAGTTTTTATTTTTTCACTCAAGTTTACTTATTGCTGGAATTTGAATATGAACTGCTCAGCACAACCACCTTACCCTACGTTACTTGTCTTTTCTTGCCAGCTGGTGCGTGAACAATTGAGTGACGTTCAAATGAAGCCAGGGATAATTATTTCAATTCCGCCTTAAGATTTGTTCTTGTATTCCTCAAACATTCTATGTTCAACTCTTCCAGGTCAATAAATCAAATGGACCATTCGATGCCCTTCTTTGCGTCGGGCAGTTTTTTCCAAGTGATCCAAGTGGTATCGAGGATATGCAGAAGTATATCGACGGAACAGAGCCAATACCACTGCCCACCTTCTTTGTCGGTAACTATGGAGAGGGAGCCAACCTGCTGCTGTCCGCGAGTAAACTCAAAGCTGCCCAAGCTGGTCTAAGTATGGAAGGGATTCCCGTTTGTCAAAATTTGACTTGGCTGATTGGCAGCGGCATATTAAACCTTCATGGTAACATATTCGACCATTTAGATACTGCGATTTTTTCCTCAATCTTAAAGATGCTCATTCTTACTCAGAGATGAGGGCAAACACGTCTGAACCTTTTCAAGTTGTCAAGGACAAAATCAACCTATTTGCCATAGATATTTGTATCTTGCACACCCATGTAATTTGCATAATTCTCAGAGTCCATGCCTTACACCGGAGTATGTCATTCTTATGTACCCCACGTAGTCCTTGGCTAACCAGTAATTGAGAAGTAGGTGCTTAGTGATGTCCGTAGTCTTATAGTAAATGTTACATATACACCATCAATGATATTTATTAGCACCGTTTGAAGTAGCAAGTTTTTAACGCTTGATATATATTGATCTGATTTGCAGGCCTGCGAATTGCTTATCTGGGTGCAAAATACATTCCTGACCTTTATCAGGATGCTAAAGGTGCGGCAGCTGCAGGAGCGCATCACGAAGATGATGTTGATGCGTTGCGTGCATTTGCAGACGACAAAGCTGTGACTGACTTATTTTTATCATATCCTTATCTCAAATCTTGAGAGAAAGTATCCATCAACCAGTTTCTTGGTTAAAGTATGTTCCTTTATGTTGGTATGTTTACTGTGTACGTACGAACTAAGGACACTACTTTAAGTACATTGAAGTACCTTCACCTTCAAGGGGTTGCGATCCCACTCCCGCCAGCCTTATTGTCATCCGATCTCTCTTCATTGTAGTCTGTTGATGTAAGTTGGCCCATGTCAGTAGTGTATCCTTAACTCATAGATACAAACGAGTGGCCACTGGGAGTGACAAACGGGGCTGATCTGGTCAACGTTCCTCCAAATGTCAATGCTGCCACAGGAACAATGATAGCTGCAGACCTTGCCACTGAGTTAAAGCCGCGGTAAGTGTAAATTAAAAAGTTTATACGAGGAGCTGGATATTTTCTAATATGTAATGAGGTTCTTCACGGGGGTTAGCGTCGGAGTCCCTTGAAAGAGGTCTGATGTCTAAGCTGGCGACCCCAGCTATCATTTTGCAGGGACAGAGGGAGTCTTTTACGCCAGAGAGCCCTACTTGAATCCTGATGCTGACCATTGTACTCGTTTCATTGGACTTGCGACTGTTGGGAATGATAAGAAACAGGTGCGAAATTCTCGCCATACACTTAATAAAGAATATTTCAGCAGTGCAGAGGATGAGTCTTTGAATGATTGATGTGTAGTAACCTCGCGCATGTTGCTGTCCGATTTGTGAGTAATGCACAATTTCCTTTGTATCCTTTCTACTATGTCAGTGTACAGGTCCTTTTTTTAAAAAGCCATCATTTCAGAAATTTGAAATCTTCCAGCCACACTTTTACAGAAATTTCTACATGCTCTGTCTCCAATGCCGGCATCTACCATGGCTTTGTCAGATCTTGCCATACGGCCTCCGAATCTGACAGTTTCGCCCTATGAGATAGCTCGTATTGAGAGTAAAAGTGCGGGTTCCAGAGCCACGAATTTGCGAAATGGATTGGCCAAAGATACATCTCGTGGTGGAAAACATCCTGTCGACGTCGATGGTCAATACTGGAGATATGATGTTGGTCAAACCAAACGCCAGAGACGGGATGATGGCGACAGGGTTTGCGTAGAATTTGTTACTCGAGGCACGTGTTCAAGAGAAGGAAACTGCAGATTTAAACATGACTTAGGAGATGGGACTCCTATACCTAAGGGTGCATGCTTCGAATTTGTCACCAAAGGTAGTTGTGAAAGAGGTGCGGACTGTAGGTATAGACACTCGCTAGAGAATCCGGAGAGACGAGAACCTCTACCGGCAGGTGTATGTTTTGATTTTTTCAAAACAGGAAAGTGCGACAGAGGGGCTGATTGCAGGTACTTTTTTATATTACTTTACATTCTCTAAAGTATATCATCGTCCCAAGTTAATTTAGTCTGAAGACAGCTCTATTCACTTTGGAGCCTCCCCTTTGTCAAGTGTTAGTACTTGTAGAAACCAGCAATGTTCATTGGACGGATTGATAAAGGGACGCCTTTCTGATATTTTGCATTTTTCATTTGCATGATGTCCAGGTTTAGTCATAGTCTTGATAATCCAGCTCCTCCTCGACCAACCGGACCTTGCTGGTTTTGTTTATCAAGCCCCGAAGTTAGTACACATTTAGTGCTTAGTGTGGGTGACCATTGCTACTGTGCCCTAGCCAAAGGTCCTGTAGTTCAAGGGCATGTGCTGCTTCTGCCGATCGAACACTTTCCTTCCACTGTTTCTTTAGCGTTTGATGTATTAGACGAGATGCAAAAGTACATAGATGGTCTACGGGAATGTCATCGGAGTCAAGGAAATGCAATTGTGATCTTCGAGCGCTACATTCAACTTCGTGCGGGGACACATGCTCATATACAGGTAAGATTATTATATATATCATATTTTTGCATCGCACGTGCAATACATTATATTTTAAAGTTCCCATCAGCCTCAAAGGTTCAATGGTGCGTCGAGTTATATTACGTCTTTGAATGGAAGTGCTGTTTTTCGTATCCTGTGTTCGCAGATCATCCCAATACCTGAAGCAGAAGCTCAATCTGCACGTGGCGCATTTGAAACTGCAGCAATGCAGGCAGGTTTCGAATTCCAATCTCTTCCTTCAGGTGGGTTTGATCTCCACGACACCACTACCAATTGTTTATTTGCTAACTAGGTCAGTGACTTTTCATTGACTTCCGAGTACAAGTCTTGCTCTAATCTCGTAGTATGTTCCTGGCATCCCAAATCGTAGACTGCACTGCATCTGATGCGTATATCCTGCTTTCACTATTACAAATTTCATCGCTAACTTTTCACATGAAGAGCATATAGTTCATGGTGGTAGGGTCACTGTTGTATATGTGGATTGTGATTATTTGGGAACTGAACTCTTGCTTTCCCCAAGGTGTTCTTTAAATAAATCAATTCAGGTGAACGTTATGTATTTTAATTTTGAGTACCTAATTTTTTTTTTGAGATTGACGTTGCAGGAAAGAGTCATCGTCAAGCTAGAGAGGCTCTTTGGGAGTTAGTGCAAAACAGAAACTACTTTTATGTGGAGCTTCCGGACCAGGCGAGACTAGTGCATCCGTTGGACGGTGGTGCCAAGATGAGTATGCAGTTCGGCAGAGAGGTAATTGACCAATACAACAACTTTTGGTGATTTAGAACAAGATCAAGTTGTAAGGAAATTGAACTCTTTGAGAACATTATTCAAGTTCTGTTTGATTAAGACCATGCAAGTTTGAGAGAAGGTCTCAAGAGAACTGACGAATTAGCTATCACTGACAAATAAGTGAAATAATAGTCTCTGATGTACCATCGAATATCTATAAAGAAGGAGCATCTATTTAGTTATTTTTCCGGTTGTGTAGGTGGTGGCAACCCTTCTCAACAAGCCAGAACGAGGAGACTGGAAGGCGTGTGTGATGAGTAAGGATGAGGAAACCAACATGGCTGAGGAATTCAAACAGCTGTTCACAAACTTTGATCCGATGCTATAATGGTTTTCACAGATAAAGGATTTTCTCTTTATCTTAATTTTTGATGGGTTGGTGGTTGATATTAGAAATGATCCTTTCAACTGTAGGAAGGCGAGATAGATGTAAAGCTATTATGTTGCCAAGGATTTGTACAAAACAAAGATTATTTGTGCAATTGACGTTGAGAGCTTATGCCGTGGGGTTAGAGGTATCGGAAATTGTCTTATTTTGTCAACAAATTGTACCAACTGACTCTATCTTCAAGCATATTGAATGCCAAAAAGAATGGATGGACACCTTTATCAATGAGTCAGAGGTAATGCCCACATTGTCAAAATACACCAGATCTTTAGAGATCATTACCCTTCTTAAAAAGTTGGGTGGTACACACGTGTAACAAATTAAGCCAACAAGGAAACTAATTAAGCCAACAAGGAAGCTCTAAGGTTCATTTTACATGAGGTGGATTGTTGGCAGTGCTACCTTAGTAAAGAATCTAACATTTCTAAACCTATTTATGAAATGAAAGCGGCTGATCTACGTTCCCACACACCCGATAACTTTCTTACGTGGGTCATAAATACTGTGATTCCAAACGAGAACCCGTAATCAATTCTATGCGTTGGCACTTTCAACTCAGATGGGGAATATGTTAACGGGCCCGAGAATTCCCTCCTAATCCTACTTCCCCCTACAATGCCAAGCAGGCAAGGAGCCCATTTGTTGAAATGAACTACAAAATTACAAATTCCATTTGCCTAGGAGAGATCGATGCGCGAAAATAGTGCGGCCTGAGCTTGAAGTACTTTTATCTTGTTTAGTGTATTAACATGGTTTGGTGTAAACTATAAACACACTCTATAAACATTGTCGGAAGACACTGTCAAGCCCTACATAGATGAAACCAAGGGAGGAAGGTGGGGCTTAGGCTCCATAAGAAATACTGAGACATGGAATGCAAGAGGGAGTGAAGGAAATGTGATCCAGTGGTCTAGTAGCAGGAGAAGAGTTCATTTTATGGATCAAATGTAAATACCTGAGAGGTTATATTATAGGGTGGTAAATTATCCAACATGAACTGACGTCCCGACTGACGTCAGCATAAGCAAAAATGCGCTGCCAAATGAGTTCACCTTTTCATAGCAATCCGATGAGGGTTGTGAAAGACATGTGCAGGCATGGAGGTTGCAGTAGGCTTTTAGAACTGACCACATTTCTGACCCCATCTTGGATATCGGTCGACTTTTCTTAAAATAGTGATGTAGAGATGTTATCTCTTCACTATCTCGTATAGCCCCTACACACCTTTCCATTCTAAAATTCGCAGATGGACGGAGGTCCTTGCTCACTCCAACATAAACCTGCACAATTAATCTGCATAGTCTTCAAGATATCACACGTATAGATCAACCATGTCTTCACACCCACCAATTGCAAAACTACCTCAACGCAACACCAAGTAACTTCGGTAAACCACAATGTTGGATATACCTGGAATACACCAAAAGCTTACACTCAGTTCGGCCCTTTTTTTAACAGAAATGGAAGTCTTGCAGATTTGCCAGTTTCTGAATAATTGTCAAGTTCAAGCTCAAGCATGTACAATGTACGACAAATTTCGAGAAAAATTTCTTTTATGTCACAAGACTTCCATCCCCTTATTGACCATTTTGACATGCCACGGACCGCCCATACACTTGGCTGCGTTCCCATCCAGCAATCAAAAGTCTCAGAACTGGTAGATACAGGAAAGCCACCCACTTCATCTCTGAAATTTTAACAAAAAGTCCTATTCTAACTGATATCATCGTCAACAGTTTTGACCCTTAACATAACGAAGCATGCGATAACAATCTACTTTATTCTTTCATCTCATGCACGTGTGGAAGCCAACTCTAAATGTCTCTTCTTTGCAATCTTAATTCTCATGTCATCATAATTAAAAATCATTCAACAAAAATTACAGTGATTCTCCCACATATCAAAAATACATACATGGTTAATTTTTCATTTGTTACAACCTTAAACATGAAATGAACGGCCTGCTAATCGAAACCCTTATAGCACATATGCAAACAAAAAGAGGAAGGTTGGAATATTGAAGATCTTATTTCGCCACTTCAAGTTTGAGTCAACCAACTGCCAAACTTCAAAGAATCTCTCCTTCACACAACAAAACTCAAAGGACACTGTAGAATCAGCCAATTTCTTTGGCAACTTACATGATCATCACTCAACGTCACCTTCACTAGGCTCGCTGGGTTGATAATGGTTAACCCCCGAATTGCATCAATTGTTTATAAATGCTTGACCTTTGGAATTTGCGTTTCTTATATTTTCATCCTGTGATGGACACGATGTTCGAGTAAAAATAAGAACTTCGTGTGAATAGATGATTCTTCCAAGTCTGCTCACACGGACAATGGGTCCATTCCAGATCAGAAACTTACCATTCTATGTGTGTGAAACTTACGTCTTTGTCTATCCACTGATTTCATACTCGATGGAGGGTCAGGCAAAAATGGGAGGAGCTGGTTGGACTGCCTTCAGCAAACGTGCACATTTTCCCACGAAGGGTGAAACCAGGAGCCAAGTTCCAGTCTACAGGAGAACCTAACGCAAAAAGGTGGCGGAGCAGTCTTCTTCAGACTTCTTCAGATAGTCTTCTTCAGACTTCAGTGTCCGTTCTTTTGAGATAATCTAAATGCGGTGTGAAAATCACTTGGAGACAACTATGAAAAGTCAAGACAATCTTGCTTGAAATCTATTGCAAACGTCCTCACCTATATCTTACAAATCTTAGAACGTTGACGGGGATGAAAAGTAAGAGTTCTGCCCAACAAACCTGAGATTATAAATTAGTGAAAGTAGAGAAGTCAAAGCTGTTGTGATCAGGTGTACGAAACTGAGTAGCAGAGCAATGTACATGCCATTTCCCGACCTACGACCAGCGTAATATCAATAGATAGACAACAGTTCTGAAGGACTCAGTAACCATCAAATCTTACTTCAGACACAATCTCAACTTCTTAATTATACGTACATTTGAGAGAATTTTTTTCTAATTAAATATTCGTAAGAGGAAGATTATCAGTTGAGAGTGGTTGAAATTCATTGGAAGTTAGCAGTTAAAAAGTACATGCACAAACTGTTAAAGTTGGTAGCTTATCGATAAGCAGATATGTCAAGCAGGTGAGCATTTTCTCTTACTCGAATCGAAATGGTCAGCTCAAAATCACCGGAAACCGGCTAGTGAGAATATTCTGGCAAGCGTTTCCCCACTAACATCCACTCTATGTCAGACAATTTTATTCCCAAGTTTACAACTGCTCCAGTAAAATTTAGGAAAATACGGGTAAGTATTCCTAACCAAAGAATGCCATCCAGGAAATTACAGTATATTACTCATAAAGTGGACCTGTAACGGAGCTTGTAAATGTCAAGATTGATTTTGATAGGATTCGTTCATCCTATCAAAATATTACAGTATTTGAAAAATGGATGATTGCATATTCTGGAACCAGGTTAAGAGATTTCATTTCAAAACAGCAAGAGGTTGTAGCACTGCTTAGTCTTGAATCCGCTCCAATGAGTATAACACTATGCTGAGCTTTTTGGAGACATTAGATTCGTGTAGGGGTTACATTTCAATCATCGTATTTTTTTTCTTTCTTTTTGAATCTTTCTTGAACATGAATTTTTTTATCAGTAGATTATCAGGATGGCAAGGGTTGGTGGCAGGTATGATGCCCCTAAAATATTTAAATTATTGAATGACCTACATGATTTACCATTTACCATATACAACAGTTCAGCAGAGCTGATTGTGAAATGGGTGGTTTTATGTTTTTTTTTGACATTTTGTAATTACCTGGAGATCATTACTGTTTGTAGTACACTCTACAACAAGAAATGTGCACTGCCACACTGGCTCTTGATAATTGGGAACTACAGCGAAATGAGTTATCAATCTTCTTCAGCTGCTACGTTACGATATTGTATAAAAAATCCAAAGAGCTCAATGTCGGTTACATCAGAAATGTAGCAAAACATGGCAATAACATGATAATTCGAAAATCCTTCTATTCATAACTCCAAATCAACAAGTTTTTTTCTACTCTTTTCGTTCATCCACACAAATTTCATTCATTTTAGTTTTGGAAAATTTATGACAATGTTCTAGAATATCCAGTGAGTGATTTCTCGTCCAGTTTGACTTGGCTTTATAAGTTCACTATGTCTCTATAATCATGACAGTCTTCAACGTACTCAACGTTTCTCATTCAATTACAATTTTCAGAATTGTAAATAATATCCGAACATTTCATAAAGATTTCCTGTAGTCCGGATTTGGTTTAGATTTTAGAAGATTTTATTTTGATTCTTAAATTTGATGAAATATGTTCGATATTCGTTTATATCTATTCATACATGATTAAAAGTTTTTCCCTCTCTCGGAAATAATGTAATCCGGAGTCTTTCTTTAAAGTCAGGAATATATTTGCTCGTTCATGTTGCGAATGTTAGAGTGAGTTCTAGTTTTAGGAAGCTTACTTCTGATGATGTTTAGTGAGTACCACTAGAACTCAATACACTGAGGGTTGTTCTTCAATTATTTTTATATTCGATGCTTTTCGTCCAATCTTTGTAATTGTCATAGTTTAGATCAAGTAGTAGACTGTACCAAACCATACATGAGAGAAGTTTGTTTTTTCCTTATATTTGTCTTGATATTTTTCTTCTCACTGAGGAAACTTTTATATCAGTCTTACTCATCTGGATTAGAGTTTCAGATGAATAAAATTAAAGGTGTGGATTATATTCTTGATGAAAATTGTGTTTTCGTGTACATCATGAAATCAAATTAATAGTGCCTTGGATAATGATTTGATCTAGTCTCGGGCTTCAACAACCTGAAAGAGTTTGAGAACTGTATCAGAAATGGACTCGAGCACGAACTTCCTCTTTGAGAAAATATTAAGTCTATCACAGTATCAACCAAATTCAGTGCATAGGGAAAGACCGACGGGCATAGAGTGTTCTGTAAACTGTACTGATTAAAGTGTAACGTATTTCGTTTGGTGCTCAACCGCTTGAAAGACTTAGAGCAGCTGCGTAGAATCTGTGTGATATGTTGGTCCCGTACGTGAATGACATTTGTTGCATGTGGTGTGACTTTGATCCCATCTACAGAATGAGCACGCAAACTCTGTGTGCACCAACCCATGAAGAAAACACTGGAGGGGGAATGGTAGGATTATATCCGCAGGTCGTTGCCAGATTGCCCCAGAATGGACCGGGAGTAGCCGGTGGCATCCTCTCGTCCCTTGCCTTCTCGAGGGTGGGAGGAAGCTGATTGATGACGGCGCAGTGATCGGGCAAGGACATCTCTCAAGGTCCGAGCCTCTTTGGATCTTCTCCTTCCATAATTCGGTTCTAGTCAAGATCCTCTCAGCGGTTACGAGTGAGGACCATCTCTCAAGGTCTGAGTCTCCTCTGATCTTCCACTTATGTATTTTGCTTCTAGTCAAGATTCGCTCAATGGTTACAGTTGGCCTCTTCTGTTGTGATCCATGGACTTGTTGACGGGCCGATGGAGTGACAGACTTGGGCATCCAGTGAGATTGGGTTAATTCGCATTTCTTTGAAATTTGTTGAACCCCTTTTCGCTGGCATTAGCATGTTCTTATGGTTAATAATGCCTCTCTTAGTGCCGGTTTAGCCACCCATCTTCTGACTGTCTCTATGGATACTCGGTAGGGGCTGTGTTCCAGTTCATGAAGCACTCTACAGTGTACTAATATGTGAATTGTCCATGTGCATCTCGATCATGCATGTTGCCCCGAATACTTCAGAGTTTCCCCGAAGCACGATATGCTTGCTGTTCTCAACAGCAGACGGAGAAAATACGTGATCCAGTAACTCTATTAACGATCGACATCGAATGGGAGCTGCCAACTCCGTCCACTCAATTCTGCTGTATTGTCTGATCATCTGTCGTATTCAAGGAAGATCACGTTTTAAGCTGCTGTGTTGCTGCGGCTGTCACACTAGTTGTGGTCTCATCTCATACTTCTCCCGTCGCCTTTCTTCATCAGTGAGGTCTTTATATTGAGGACATTATTGTGAGGCGACTCACAAAAGTCGCTTTAAAAGTCCCGAACGAACTTCAAGTCACTTGAAGAGAGAATAACAATACGCGCGAGATTGATTTCAGAGAGATATCGATGGCCCGTTTGTCGAACTTGATGCTGTTATTGTTGCTCGTGTGGGTTGTCTCTGCCTTCACTCTACTGCCGATTTCCAGAGGCATAAGTGTGAGGACTGCTGGGAAATGGCCCTATGATCATCATGACCAGAGCGAGAGGACGAATGCCGAGAAGACAGCGTTGCAGCAGCAGATGGCTGATAAAATAGATCGTCTGCCAGGTCAGCCACCAGTTGGCTTCGACCAGTACTCTGGCTACGTGACGGTGGATGCATTTGCTGGTCGCGCACTCTTCTATTGGCTCGTGGAGGCTTGGACCGACGCTCCCAATAAGCCTCTGGTTCTGTGGCTCAACGGAGGTATGCTTACATTGATGGGTTTGTTAGAAAGTAGCTTTCAGAAGTTCCTGGCATTGAGCATTTGATCATACAAAACGCCGATCCTATCGAGATACGCAGAAAAGGTGAATGTGCAGAGATTCACCAATTTATGACCAGCATCAGTTTGCACAATTTTTCATGGCTAATGGGTAACTTTCTAGACCCATGCTCGTTCACCTAGCCCTCTAGCTGTGGGATGTGGAAGCTTCACTGATCTCAACCCACATTGGAGAATATAGAAAGGGCGATATAATTTGTGCTCCTGAAAGCTCCGGGTGAATAGCATAGTCCGCCTTGTAAACGAGGAATAGGGCCATGTCGTCCTCCATCTGCTTTGGCTTGATATTTACTGACAGGTGGTGCAATGGTATTTTGAGACTTCAAATGCTCGCCCAGCTCTAGCTCTACCCTTGGTATTTGAGCTGACGTGCATTGTGCTGGGGGTGCAGGTCCTGGCTGTTCCTCAATTGCCTATGGGGCTGCTGAGGAACTTGGCCCTTTCCTGATCGACCCAGATGCCTCGACTCTTTATCTCAATTCATACTCTTGGAACAGCGGTAAGAACTTGAACCCGGATGTAGCTCATTCTCGTGAACAGGAATACCATTTAATCATGCACAGTGAGCCAACTTATGATAAAGCTAGCAAGATCAGAGTAAGCTTCGACTCAACGTAGACCTTCCGTGCAAAGTTCTATAAATCCGATCGATCGATATTTATAGTCTTATTCTGATCTAGATTATAGTTTTCTTTATTATCGGATGGTATAGCAAAGCTTCACAAATTTTAGAACACTGAAAATTAATCAAAATGTTCCACATAGACGTTTGCTGCGAGTGTTGGCTTTCTTGAAGATCAACAAGATCCACGCCGAATACACATCATATAGACTTCTGGCAATGGCAAGAAGAGCTATGTGCGATTTCCTCATGTTGAATTTGACGTGAATAAACGGTTTAATGCATTAGAGGCCAATTTATTGTTCTTGGAATCACCGGCGGGAGTTGGATTCTCGTATACCAACACGTCTTCGGACCTTAACAATACTGGAGATGCTAGTACCGCGATAGATGCAAGCAGATTTCTTATCAACTGGTTTGAGCGATTTCCTCAGTACAAGAATCGACCATTCTACATTGCTGGTGAAAGCTACGCAGGTAAATGCGTGTTCGCTCAGATATTATGTGCATGATCTTCACTCCAGGCTTCGGATTCTGGTTTCACAGCTGCCTAAATGTTTATTCTCTCAAATTGGCTGAATTTAGTCACCCGTTTCCGATAAACCTCTAACGAATGGGCTCATGATATCTAATGATATTGTTTCTAGTGCAGGGCACTATGTTCCCCAGTTGGCTCATGTGCTACACAATCACCCAGTGACGAAGAAACATTCCCTCTCGCACATCAACCTGAAGGGCATCCTCGTAAGATTCTCTTACATAATCTTCGGTTACACTCCTGGGGCTAACGCCGTAGCTCACCACTCTGACAGTAGATTAGTTCTGGCACATTAGCTGATAGTGTCGCCCTCACATACGTCGACCAGTAGGCCTGAAATGTACTACAACCCCTAGGCCCAGCAGCCACATTCAGCTGACAGTATTTAGATACATGCATATGCTAGCTCACGTGGATCTTCTCCATGATCCACCTGACCTCAGTTGATCTGATCTGATTTGACATGAAGGGAAGCTAGACGTACTGTATTGTATTGTCATCAGAATCACTCTTGATTTCCCCGTGGTTCTTGTCGGTTGTGTGCTTCAGCTGGGAAATGCCGAACTGGACAACTACGCGGACAGTGCAGGACAAATTGATTACTGGTATCATCACGCCATGATTTCTTATGAGACTTATCTCGGCATTAAAAAGCACTGTAAATGGAACCATGAGTATTATACAGATGATTGCTACAATCTGCTGGGTTACGCCCAAGCCTATGAGATTGGCAATATCGACCTTTACAGTCTGTACACTCCCAAGTGTTTGAACGGGTCAAATTCGAGAGTGATCTCGAGACACAAAAGAAGACTCAAAGTAATTCTCTGTTTGAGTCTATCGACTCTCAATTTTTTAAGTTCCAATTGTGAGGTGATTTTTCTGAGTTCAGAAAAGCTAATAATGAACCGTGCCTGGCTTTTGTGTCATTGAGGGGAACGAATTTGTGAACCAGATTCCAAATCAGCTCGAAGAGCCTGCTTATGACCCCTGCTCTGAGAATTATGCCGAAGTGTACTTTAATCGACCCGACGTTCAAAAAGCTTTGCATGCCAATACAACAGGCATCAGCTATCGCTGGACTGCTTGCAGGTACAACAACATATCCACTTTTCAGCATCTGAGCGTATATTTTCAAGGATTGCGTGAGAACCCCTATTGGTTTAACCTGTCAACTGCACTGCACTTCTACAGCTATCATGTGCATGGTGAGATAACACTTTGCACCACGTCCTATGTTGAACAAATTTTGACTGATTGTATGAAATGCCGGTCCCGGCCACACCTCTTGCAGTTCAACATTGTTTGCTCTCTGGCAAGATACCCCAGATTCAGTTTTGTGGATCCTGAAGGAGCTCATTGCAGCCAAACTGAGAGTGTGGGTATACAGGTAATGTCCAGATGTTTAAGTAGGCGAAGACAGTTCTGTAACCTGTGCTTGAATCCATGTTGAGTATGAATTTCCTCATGTTATTGATTTAGTTGACTTTGGGTGGGTTAAGGGGTGAAGTACAAGTTAGATGAGAAAGTCATCGCCAATTTCGAATATGATTGATCCCGAAGTTTTCTAGCCGGCTGGTCTCTGACTCTTCGTGGTCATTCATTTTCATCGGATGCAGTGGGGACGCCGATGGAGTTGTCCCAGTGCAAGGCACGCGATATTCACTGAACTCGCTAAATCTTACCATCAAAAGTCCCTGGTTTCCTTGGTACATGCCAAACCAGCAGGTAGGTTGGCACCGTACTCATTGGACACTTCTTGTCAAAGAATGGATCAAATATTTATCTTTTCAACCAATTTCGTTCTAGCAGCCCCAACACGTAACAGTACTGCAGGTTCAGACATGGAAACGTAGATTGTCACGTGTTGAAATCGCTAGTCTCTATGTGTCATGTGCCCACTGCTCTAGGCAGAAATGTCTTTTTCGTACTACGATTGTCATTTGAAGCATGAGACATTTTGTACGAAGTCAGAGACTCCAAGAATATTGCGTTGCGTTTGTGCCAGATCAATGAGAGATTTGATTGCAAGAGCACATACCTATTGTGAATGGGTATATGTCCAAATCTGAAACCATGACACAAAGTTGAAGAAATGCTATCGGTGCCTTGCTCCGTAATGTCTGTATTTTTCAGCATGAATCCACTGGTGGCCACATTTATGTGAAGAATTTGAAACTGTCTACGTTTTTCTTCCAGGTGGGTGGACGGTCTGTCGAGTACGAAGGCTTGACATTTGTCACAATCCGAGGAGCAGGGCATGAAGTTCCTCTCCTCCATCGAGGACCATCTTTGGTTTTGTTCCGCAGCTTCCTTTCTGGACAATCTGTGCCGAGACAGAAACGGACTTAGTATCTGTCATACATGGTTCACAGTGAAGAATCATCTATGTACTGTTTCCCTACACTTAGGAAATAAATAAAAATAATTTTATCATGATTACCGAAGCGAATGTCTCGACTGTATTTATCCTTTGCATTTTGAAATTGCAATCAATTATTTGATGCCTGCCCCATCATACAGTGACAAAATGCCACACACGTCCTCGAAGACTGATGTAATACTGAACTATCGAGATCAGCTAGATGAATCATCCTCATGCTACTTATTTCAACTAGACACATGCAAACCTCTTCAGTTCAAAAATCCTCGAAACCTCCTTGTTCTTTAGTGATAACTTATCATAACATTAATATATATTTCTATTCAATTGATCCATAGGATAATTCGAAATCCCGGAAAGTAGACTAGATATAAAGTGTGACAAATCTTAAAGACTACGATCGATCTAACACATGGATTCACTAGCACTGCTACCTGGTCAGTGGAGGTTAAATGTTATTTGTCCAAGTTTCAAGAATAAAAATCCGATAACCAGATTTCATAATCTTACCTACATCAAAATTTTGCGAAACTTGTCCTCTTTCTCTTAAATGTTGAACTCAACATTCGTTCGGCACAGCAGTTTGAATTCTGTACATTTAGCTCTGTCAATCTGGTAATAGACTTTTCAGAGAAGAAATGGACTGTGAATACCAAATCTCATACTGAACTCAACTTTCAGACATAACTTCTACTATGGCAAGAAACAATGCTCATCGTTCTACTGAAAGAAAAGAAAGAGATGCAAGATTGTCTGAAGTCATGGATAATGATGTTGCTGCAATTCATCCATTCATACTACTGGCTAAAATTTCTCGGTTCGATTTACAGTCTCTATCTATACACGCCAATGTACTGCAACTGAATCAAACGCTTTCAACCACGCTAAGGCTCATGCACTTCTTTTACAAAGTCTAATGTATGAGAATCTCTTGCTGATCTCAAGCCCGGAGTCAAGAATCAATCATTTCAGCTTGTTACCAACAGCGTATGAATGTGTAGTCTCTTGCAATGACTCGAACAGTTTTTCAAGTATTGTCAAGTAATGACAAGGTATTCATCTTCTCCTTGCCGCGAAATCGGCTACCTGAAAAATAGGGGGTGATGTTACCGTGTAAGTTTTATAGCCATCAAATTCTACTTCAAAGTTGGACTCATAAGAACGTAGTTACAAAATCATGTAACTCTCTGGACAGCGAATAATGCAAGGTACGTAGGGAATATTTTGAAAGGAGAAGTCTTTTAAGTCCTCCCCAAGAATCTGGTAGCATCTGAATACTTATGCAAATCAGCATGAAGTTTTTTTAGATCCGGTCTGCTTAAAACTTTCAGTAACATCTTGAGGCTATCACATTAAATCTCAACTCCTGCTATTCATTTTCTGCCGGCAGCAAATTTTTATATTAATATGGTGACTACTCTGCGAGTCATTTCCGCTCTAACCATATAAGTTTGTGATCTATTCAAAACGAAAAGAATGAAAATTGAGAAGTATTTATGCTGAAGAAATGACGTTGTCACAATGGTTTGAATGAAATATCGAACAGACATTGGGTATCCATCAAGTCTAGTAGAATCATTCTAACCTCGGTATTCCGACCTACTTGAATGTGTCCCATAATTCTCACATCTATGTAGTGATATCCTCCTTATTTGATCCACCATGTAGGCATGGTGTGCCATCTATGGATGTTATGTGATATTCCCACTTCGAATTTACAGGAGAAGCAGATTGAAAAATGGTGTTGTTTCTAGTACTAATCTTTTCAAGAGAGCTTCAAAAGCATTGCCTGACATTTTCTGCAAATGATACCCGAGACTTTGAAAGGAAACCGTCAATCTATCTCCATGTCACGAACATACAGTACCGTCCCTTCATGAAACAGTAGTGTTAATATTAGCCATAATCCACAGTCCCAAGGCAAACATTGAACCTAATACATAATCTGTTTGCAGTTCTCACCATATATACTGCTTGAACTTTGGCAGAATAGATTTTCTGTAGGAAGTCTGTGTTGATTTACATCTTTATGGAGATATACTAGCTAGTCAAGATTCAAGAAATGCTCTGCTTCTTGTTGTTTCGTTCCAAACCTGAACAGAGTTGCTTCAGTTGATAATGTGGTTGGATTCAAGTAGATTTCTTAAATGGAGCATGTGGTAACACACTTTTTGTTTTTTTGCAGAATTTAAACAATTTTAGAAAACTAGTACCAAAGCAGTGTTTGTAGCTAGAGAAGGGTACGCAAAATAGAGTGGATTGAGGAGATCGTCACGAGGGCACAAAGAATCACGTAGTCGGATGTACCAACGCCAACGTCTTCGGCGCCTTCGGCAAAAGCTCCTTTTTGAGGTGTCTCTACTCACGCGCCTCTAGCGTATAAGGAAGCTACGCTTCCGGCGCAGACACCTCAGGAGGAGGTTTTGCTAAAGACGTCAGGAGAAGGGCCCGGACCTCTAAAGGCGTCCGACCATGAGTGCGCCTTCGGCGAAGCGTCGCTAGCGCGGAAAGGGAAAACCTTCATAACAATCGGGATACACGGTAGATCCAGTTGGTTGAAGTTGCATTAGAAAGAGCTCGGGACGCTCGTTCTAACGAGTCCAAGAGCGCCGGAGATGGATCAGGAATGGAGAAGTTATGAGCGTCGGAAAACTCGTAGCCGGACATGCGCCGTTCGCGCTAGGGTTCACAGCCGGAAAGGATTCCCGTACGCCCTCGGCGATGCGCCTTCGGCGGAATCACGCGCTCACAGGAGGAAACCAACTCAGAGTCGGAAGCGCCCTTGGCGGCTGTTCATGGAAGGAAAGCACCGGTCGGATGTACGCCTCCGACGTGGCGCTGACGGCCGGATGCGCTGGCATGAGTTGCGCTGACGGATATGCGCTGGCAGCAACGGACGAGGCATAAAGGACAAAATAGGCGGTACGACTGCGCGCCGGCGTAATTCGCTCCGGCTGGATGTGCGCCTCCAGCAAAGGCGCCGACGGATAATGAACGCACCAGCGGCGACACGCCTCCGGAGAAGGGCGGGTTAGGAAAAGACAACAGGGCCGACGTATACCCTGCAGCGGACTCGAGTCCGGAAGGTGGCGGCGGCGGGAGAATTCAACGTTTAAGCATGCGAATGCGCGCAATGCGGAGACGTGAATTCGCGCATGCAAAGGGCGAACCGTTAAGCCGTATAGCCGGCTGCGTACGTTGCAACCAGTAAGAACGTTGGACGTTCTTGAAATCGGAGAAGAAAAGACTGCGCTCCAGTCTCATTCTCTCATTCTTGACTTTGCAATTTCCAGTTCCAAGATTACGCGCAAGGGCGGAGCGACCTGCAGTGAGAGTAGAGAGTGCGGAGACGAGTTGCACAAGGATCTTGGCGGACCTTGAAAGAATTGGGAGTAGCGATCTTGAACGAGCGCAGAGAGAGTGAGCAGTCAGTGCTTGAGTGGCCGACGCGCAGTGGCGATTGTGAGAGAGTGAGCGACAGGGAGAACGTTTGTGTGTGCAGGCAACGCAATGTCGAAGGTTCCCCAGCTGCGAGTGTCTCCACTCAGGGTGCCGCAGATCGGTCTACGCGCATTTCAAGATGTGCTGACGAGGCTGAAGCTCGATTTTCTCCTCTGGGGGTGGAATTGGACGTGTCCGGAGATGGTGCGCGAGTATCTACAAGAGAGACACAAGCCTTCTCGCGGATTTCGCCCACACCCAGAGAGATGGGAAATTTGCAATTGGGCGCAGGTGTTGGGCAGGTGTGCCGGCGAGGAAGGGGATCTCCTCTTCGAGGCCGACAGCGTGAAAGTGTCCCAGGAGGAAGAAGTCTCTTACAATGAGCTCTTCAAGGTGGCTAGACATCCCAAGAACGGTTTCCGGACTCGGGATTACAAGGATCGATTGCGGAGAAATGTTGCGACAGCATTGCTGCAGATATTGCAGCCGACCAAGACCGCTTACATGCATGGTTGGCAGGTAGAGTTCGTGGAGCTAGTGTTGTCAGGAGCTCCGGTGCATTGGGCACGGCTCCTGTGGAAGGTGACGCGCCAACATGCGCAAGAAGAGAGGGGAGGAACGCTCAATCATCTATCGCCTTACTTAATCGTGTTTTACCGGGCGATGGGATGTTTGACGAATGCTGAGAAAACTCGGTTTCCGCAGCTGAGCCGGTCTTATCCAGGTAGATATTCGAGGGAGGCCGAAGTAGACACGGATCCGGACGAGGAACCTGCCAGTACGCCTCCGGCTCCGGCTCCAGCCAGAGCAGCAGAAGAACGTCGAAGTGAGCGCATTCCGCGCAAGCGGAAGTGGGATGAGGGACCTGAGGACAGGCAGCCGGAAGTACCATCTGCGCCGACTCGTGGTCGGCCCACCCCCGAGCCTCATAGTCGACCAAAACAGAGGGCACGCAGAATGCCAACTGGTACTGAGGAGACCAGGCGAACTCCGACCCGGCGGAATCTCACACAGGAAGAGATAATTGCTCAGGTCCTAGGGAAGACGGCAGAAACCTCTGCACAGAAGGCACCACGGCCTTCGGGAGGAGATGGACGGACTGACGACCGGCCGACTGCGAGTCGGATGACTGAAGGTCGACAACCGGAAGGACAGGCAGCAGAAGCGGGCGGTGCAAGAGTGACAAAAGTCACTGCGGCGTCGACCCCTTCACAAACCGAAGATCGAGCCGGAACAGGGGCTCAAGCAGTGGGATCTCCCACTGCCCTGGATATTTTAGCAGGCAGTGGAGCAGCAGTCGCAGCAGAAGCTGCTGCGCGCCACAGTTCCAGGGAGTCGCCAAGGAATTCGGTGGCGACTGAAATCCTCGAGACTGAGGATGAGACGAGCTCGGAAGAGCAAGAAGAGGATTCGGTGCAGAAAACGCCAACAGGGGTGCTGTGCGAACAGATAGTTCCACTCCTGCGATATCTGGATCGCAAGACATCCAAATACGGAAGTGCCTTAAAACCGCAGTCTTATGTGGAGACTATCAGGCGAAGGACGAGGATCAAGGTGGCAAAGTGGGCCTCTAGTTGCCAAGTATATGTGGAAAGGAACACCGCCCTCAGACAACACCTG